GTTCGTCTATCGTTAAATAACCACACATTTTCGTGTCCAGCAAATCAAACATCAAGTCGTAATCCGGTATCCCCATTTTCAATTCTAGAACTTGAGAAATTTAATATTGAAGTTTTTTAATGTTCCAAAACATACAGTCCCATCTTGACAACTTTGGAATGCTGTTTCAACTTTTTCAAAATGAAAACAAAGTCCGGTTTTGAAACAAAACGTACGTTAAAAGAAAGAATCCATTGTTAACCACAAGGTCTATCCATAATCCATGTTAGATGCACAAATAACAACTTTAAACAAACTTTTTTAATACATTGATTGTTATTCAAATCGAAAGTTGCTGTCCCACATGCGAATAGCAACAATTTTTTATTTTTGTAAACAAGAGCTTCCATTTGCGCAGAATAATTTTCTTTCCCATTGTTGAAAATTTCCAAATGATTATGCATTTATTTTTTAGTTAGACGTGAATCAATTTAAAACCTTGACGACTTTCACAAACTACATAAGTACTCTTTCTACTTGGGTATTGAACAAATACCAGTATATTAAAAAATCACATTCATTATTGTAAAATTAAAAAAAAATCCTCATACCTTTCCACTTCGTCAGATCCAAATTTCCTTCACCATATTCATAGAACCCCAACCTTTATAATTCAAATGGTAATTTTAACCCATGGAAAATTTGGCTAACATTGACCAGCACAGTCTCCGTGATAAATAGCATCAATTGTCAAAAGTGCACAAATAGACGATAATCATCTATCTAGGGGAAACTCTGATCCTAATCTCTAACCCTAGTCTAGTCTTAATCTAACCCTAATCTAATGTTGATCTAAACTTGACGAAATTTTAGAAAATATTAAAAACGCAAGAACTCCTTTACAAATGCCAGAACTCCATTTTCAAATGCCAGAACTCCCATTTCAAATGGCAGAACTTGGTTTTCAAACGCCAGAACAACCTCGTACCCAGGATCTTTCTTTGGGAAAGACCCTGGCTGCGGCTGGTCACGTGCTTCATCAAAAATTTAGCGCCTGAGGGGGTGTGGGGAAAGTATCAAATTACATCAACATGCTTCCAGTGGGATATTCGTTAAAAACATAGATTTTGCGAATTATTACGTTCAAAATACTTGCTAATTTTTGTTTATTTTCTTTGCTTTGAATTTACAAGAACATTGTTACATTCTTACTTACAGTCAAGTCGAGAAACCAAGCCAATCGTTACTCGCAGTGCTCTCTCGTGTTGTTATTCAATGCATGCTCTCTTCACACTCGAGCGCGGTTATAACAAACGTTTGTTGTAATGTTTTTAAAATAGGCCATTACATTTGTCCTTTCTTGTAAACGTTGATACGCTTTGCACCGATTCACTTGTTATTACGCGTCTTGTTTATAAGATTTTTAAAAGAAACAGTATTGTCTAGGACTGGTCCAAATATTAGCGAATGTAAACATTTGATAATAGCCGAACAGAGAAATGTCCATAAGCATAGAGGAAATTTCAGTCATTGATTTATCTGGATTTACTACATAAATTCGTATTCGGTAATTATAGTAAGACTTTAGCCTTTTTCTTGGTCTCTATTAATCATTATATTGTGCTAATATACTATAATCTATATCCCAAATTTACAGTGTCAGATGCGCACAGACCGTCATTTGGCGTCATACGAATAGACATAAATTTTCGAGTTTTCTACTTCTACTAACATTTTTAAAGTATTCATTGTGAATCACCTGTTTATCTCTAATTCATTAATCATTTGCTACTTATATTTATTTGATAGTGTCAATGTCATATAGTGAATAATGCGTTTACACACAAGCAATCCTGGATATGATATAGACGATGCAAGCTGTCCATTAAAAAATAACGGTATTCTATTTCACAAAGCAAAAATTTAAATCTCACTTGTATATATTAAGAATGCATATAAAGCAAAAAATTAAAGCTTATTCATGTCAAAACGAAAGCTGTTTACAAAATTTATAAAGGTGGTGAACACTACTAAACAGTGCTCATTGAAAGACATGTATAATATAGTGACATATAATTTGCCGTTTGACTTATCTTTGGTGTATGATTTTAATACCGTAGATTTTCAACAGACAGCTATACTTTGACATATACCATGATCGTTGGATTCAGCAATGCCAAGGGCCAATTTTATAGTCTTTTGACGGGCTTTAAGTTTTTTGATGAGGCCTTTATATAGATCAACAATCTGGATACAGTTGGCGATATTTCGGAAATCAAAAGATCTCGCTATTTCGTTGCAATTCCACATCTCATCAACAAATAAATTCTTTTGGTCCGAGTATCAGGATAAACTTTAATACTAAATAAATAACAACCACACTGTTCGGTCTAGAGATATATATTTTCTTGCAGGTTTAATCACAGTTTAATATTGCCACGCTGCACAAGCGGCAAGCGTGCTTTCTTTGGCAAGTCTATAATGAAATCTGATCCAACTTGCTTGAATTGTAGCTCGACACCAGATTATAGAGTAGAACGTCACGACATAAATATTAATTCAAGAGTTCTCTTTATAATTACGATTTCTTGTTGCAAATTTACAGTAAATTTCATCACCCAAAGTTGCAATTTTAAAACGCTACAAACACTCTCCTTTCCCACCCCTCTCACAGTTACAATTAAATTTACCTCCCAGAATCTGGGAGGCACGTGACCAGCCGCAGCCAGGGCACAGAATAAGGTACACAGAAGGCCGACTTCTTCGTTTTTCCTATGATTTTCCTATGATTTTGGCGTAACTCGTGATTCGTCATCAAATGCTGACGCCATGGTCCTAGCCAGTGCGCGTCTGAGAGGCATTCACCCCCCTGATATCATTCAAAATGGCGGATATCCAGGGGGGGAATGCCTCTCAAACCCGCACTGGCTAGGACCATAACGTCAGCATTTTGATGATGAATCATGGCGTGGCAGCGTTACTTGAGTCGACCTTCTGTGTACCTTATTCTGTGGCCAGGGTCTCTTCCAATCTCGTTCCCCGAGCATGCCTGCGAACGGGCATGCTCGGGGAACGAGATTGGGTCTCTCCCAGACAGATGACAGACGGAGAGACCCTGGGAACGAGGTTGACGCCAGAACTCCCTTTACAAATGGCAGAACTTCCTTTTCAAATGGCAGAACTTCCTTTTCAAATGCCAGAACTCCCTTTTCAAATGCCAGAACTCCCTTTTCAAACGCCAGAACTCTCTTTTCAAATGCCAGAACTCCCTATTCAAATGGCAAAAGTTGGTTTTCAAATGCCAGAACTTCCTTTTCAAATGCCAGAACTCCCTTTTCAAATGCCAGAACTCCCTTTTCAAACGCCAGAACTCTCTTTTCAAATGTTTCAAATGCAGAACTTTTCAAATGGCAGAACTCCCTTTTCAAAAGCCCGAACTCCCTTTTCAAAAGCCCGAACTCCCTTTACAAATGCCACAACTCCGTTTTTAAATGCCAGAACTTCGTTTTCAAAGGACCATAACTCCCTTTTCAAATGGCAGAACTTGGTCTTCAAACGCCAGAACTCCCTTTACAAATACTAGAACTCCGTTTTTAAATGCCAGAACTCCGTTTTCAAAGGACCAGAACTCCCTTTTCAAATGGCAGAACTTGGTCTTCAAACGCCAGACTCCCTAGGAGTGAACAACATTTTTCAGTAAAACAACAATGAAAAGCAACGCTTACCTGAGATTTTCAATCGCTATCTTCCCTGTGAATGTTTCCTGACAATATAAACTCATCAAACGCTATCGCTTTGGTGTTTTTACGAAAACAGAACATATTTTTGCACAGGACGATTTCTCGAAGACGAAGTATGGTCCATTACACCAAGAAACACGGATATATAATTGCCAAACAGCTATACCTTGGTTTAACGTAGACATCTCAAGGAAAAACTGCATTCTTTTATGATTTTTGTGGCGGTTTTTCCTTGTTTTCTTGTTTATTTTTCACTGTTTTCTAGTGTTTTGAATAAAATTCCCGCCTATTTGCAAAATGCGAGTCCACAATCATGTTGAAAATGTGTGTCAGCTTACTTTATGTAATTTTGTGTTTAAACGCCCCACGCAAGCCCCACGCACAGTTAACTACGTGATTAGTTAACTATTTAATTTATAAACTTTACAATCAACAAAACGATTGAAGGTACAGACAACAGGACTGAGTAGTCCCAAATTAAGTCCTACCTACACGTTACACTGACATTGTAAAACAATAGAGACAGGTTACAACTTTAACAAAGCTACAATACAAAATTACAACACACGATCAATGCGTTCCAACCCATCTTTACACTTTCCAAAGTTAATATGGTTTGGAAAATGATCAAGTTAGAAAAAAAAAATTATACATATAGATGAGTCAACATTGTGAAGCACAGACATAGTCACAGAATACAGTAAACATCCTAAACATGCATGTGCTCCAAGCTGTCCCTGCATTTTCCAAAGATAGGATTTCAAGAACATAGACTGCCCGGGTCTTTTTTTTAATCTGGGCGTTTAATTTAATTATTCAAACAGACTGAAGCGAAGACATTTTGGAAATGCAAAGACAGCTTGGAGCGCTCTCAACTATCATGAACAACAAGTAATAGAACGAGAGCGACATTTAGAACAAATGGTTTTCCATGTCCTCGGACGATCAACGTCAAAGAATGTTTCAAGTTTGACCCGGTAGTAGTTCTTCAGTTTATATTTGAGTGTGGCAGTAGAGGTGGAGGATTTCAGATCTTCAGGAAGGTTGTTCCACAGAGGCACAATTCTGTTGTTCACTATCCGACTAACTACGTTTTGTGCAACTCAGTTAAGTCATGTAGTTAACTAATTACAGTTAAGGATTTAACTACAGTGATTAACGCTAACTACAGTTAGCGCTAATTACGTTTTTATACAACCGGCCCCTGATGACTGGGGTAGTGGGGGAGAGTGGCAATGCTGAATATGGCCGTACCCAAACTTGTTAAAACCTTGTGACATTAATTCCAAAAGTAAGTTTGCTTTATTTCTAGATATGATTTTGAGTACAAATTTACAATACAGATTTGCAGATTGCACAACGTTCTGTAGAAGCAGATGAAAGTTTATGTGTAATGATAATAGTTTGTGTACATTAAATAGTCCCAGTATAACAAGCATACTGCTATCTACATATTATGTCTATTACCATTCTAATTTAGCTACCCAACACCTAACAGATAAAATACGAAAATAAATGTTAGTAAGTATCATTTTTTGCCAGATTTCTTTATTCCACTTCCACCTATGATGAAAAAAATTTGTGTGAGTAAATTTCAAAATTCGTGGAATAGAGCTTGGTTTGAAGGCAAAGTTTTGATGGATTTGTAAAAAATATTCGAGGAAACTGACCTAGCTACAGTCCAGGGTGCGATAATTCGCGTACTTATGTACCGGAGGTACGCCAATATTACTGTCTGGTACTTCTTTGTTTTCAGCCACGTACCATGTAGGTACGCGAAACTCTTGCTATCTGCGTACTTATTTTTTGCTGGTAGCACGTGACCTTTCCAAGTACAAGGTATTCAATACCGTAATTTAGTTGGTATATCATGTGTCTGAGATGTCTTGGCATTAAACATGATTGCACTGATGGCACTAAGAAACGTTGGAGTCGGTTATTTGAAATAGCAAAACTCCGTTTTTAAATAGCAAAACACCCTTTTCAAATAGCAAAACACCCTTTTCAAATAGCAAAATCCCTCTTTTCAAATAGCAAAACACCCTTTTCAAATAGCAAAACACCCTTAAACATGATTGCACTGATGGCACTAAGAAACGTTGGAGTCGGTTAATTTGAAATAGCAAAACTCCGTTTTGAAATAGCAAAACTCCGTTTTTAAATAGCAAAACACCCTTTTCAAATAGCAAAACACCCTTTTCAAATAGCAAAACTCCCTTTTCAAATAGCAAAACACCCTTTTCAAATAGCAAAACACCCTTTTCAAATAGCAAAACTCCCTTTTCAAATAGCAAAACACCCTTTTCAAACAGCAAAATTCCCTTTTCAAATAGCAAAACACCCTTTTCAAATAGCAAAACTCCGTTTTCAAATAGCAAAACACCCTTTTCAAATAGCAAAACACCCTTTTCAAATAGCAAAACCTCCTTTTCAAATAGCAAAAACTCCCGTTTCAAATAGCAAAACTCCCTTTTAAAATAGCCAAACACTCTGTTTGCTACCTTGTAGTCTGAACATACTTTTCAGAAACCTGTACTTTATGAACCTTATTTTGGGGACTAAGTACATATTGAGTACTGAGTTTGTTCTAGCGCAAGTACGCGGCAACAACCATTGGCGTACCAGTCAGGTACGACTAGAAAACTTGAATGATCGCACCCTGCTACACAAAACTTGTACTGTGATCACAGAAACTTTAACTTAATGCATGTGGACCTATTACCTTTTTCAGAAAGCAGTATCTATTTCCCGTGCGTAATACAAAATGACTGAAAAAACGGCAAACTTCGCAGGGCTATATTATCCGCATTTTACAACATTTCGCAACGAAACTTCGGAATATTACTAATTTTGTGATGCTCTTTCATACAAGCTGTGATAAAATTTTTGTCTAAATCAAAATTTTGTTCTTTAGGTAATAGGTCCATTCTACCATTGCAGGACAAAATCTATTTGTTGTCCTCTTCTTATTTGGCGGCCATATTGGAATAAGGTACAAACCCATTGGTCCCTTCCCAGAAGCTTTGGCTTTTGCCTCTTGTAATTTCTTTTGTTCCTCCTTCCGCTTCTGTTGCTGAGCTACATCATCCTAAAAAGCAGTCCAAGTCAATAACTTGATAATTAATGGTGACAAATGTGGTGATATAAATTATGGTAATGAAATATAGTAGTGAAATGATGGTAGTTATGATGGTGGTGAAAACTATACATACATACATACAAAATTAAATTTATTTGAGTGTCAAATTATTTAGGTAAATATGGCTAATTGAGGACCAGACTGCAGGGCACTTTTCTACGAGATCTCGGCTACGCAAATATTAGAAAAAATGCTAGGAAAGCAAAGCACAGCTTCAAGGGCAAAAATTGTTAGAAAATATAACCCAGGTGTGCTTAAATTTTTGCCTAAAAAAATATTGAGTGCGATGTTGACCAACTCCGCAGTCTGGATTGAGGACATTCAGGCCTTAAAATATCGGTCGGTCACAGACATTGTCCGACCCATTCGTGAAATTGTCCGACGTAGGAAGGAAACCACCGGACATTCTGTCCGACCAAAGTGAAACTGAGGTTTATTGTTTGTCAGACTCGAGTGTTTTGGTGTCCGACCGAACTGTAGCTTTGTCCGACGTAAATCAAAATGTACCCTAGCCCAGGACTAGACGCTTGTATGTTAAATGGAAAATCAGAGTACTATTGTATAAAAGGTCAACTGGAAATGTTGTTTTAACATAGTCGAGCATGGGGCGGCGAGCAAAATGGTGAAGTGGAAAACGGGCTTAAGTTGTTGAAGTCTTTTTTAATACCGCTGTTCTGGAAAGCAAGTTAATTTTGGCTTGGAAATAAGTATGAAAGAAACAAATAATTTAATATCTTTACAACATTTACCGTTCATTCATTTGTGGGTCATTCAGACTTATTTCCGAGTCAAAAGTGAACTGAAGGTCATCGGACATATGTCCGAACAAACGTCACCGGACATTTTGTCAGACGGCCCTGTAAAAGATATTTTAAGGCCTGACATTATTGATGGTGGTTATGGTAAATGTGGTGATGATATACACTGGTGATAATGGTGCCATGGTGGTGATGATGGATAATTTCATGGTTGAGGTGATGAATTAGTAATAGAAACCTCATCTAATTCTTGTGCTTTCTTTTTAGGCTGCTTCAAAGGCTTCTTTTTACCTCCTGAAAGTATTAAAGGAATACCAACTATGATTCTTCAACAGATACAGATTCCGAGGGCCATGGCCAATGGATGTCTCAAAAAGTTGGCAAGTACAGTTCAAATCAACAAAAACGCAAACTTACCTTCCCTGCCAGACATCTTAAAGTAAAGCTAAATTAACTAACAAACTAAATTTTGATAAGAATTTCACAAAAAAGCAGTTCACGTGTGAACTGTGAAATTTATTTTTGAAAAGGATTTATATTCCACACGATTGGAATCGAATAGTGACCGAATGTTTCCGAATGATTTCCGAAGAAAACTGCTAGACTCAGACATGAGCAAAAATTGAAATATTCCATTTTCTTGAGTACACTGCACTATTCTTTTTAATTATATGATATATGAGTAATGGAGATACTTCGTATATAGTTATTTTATGTGTTTTTTATTCATTTTTTCTGCAAAATAAAAACTAATTTCAAATTTTGTTAAAGTTCCGACGTTTTCCGACTTTTAAACTAGTTCCTAGTCCTTGATACTTTGACCTTCGTCCTCGGCATTCAAGGCAAGATGGCTGCGAGAGTGTTTGCATTTCGTCCGGTTATTTTTCAGCCGGCATCATGGTAAGACCGTATTTATTGACTTAAAACTATGCTCTATGTTTAAACCAATATTCCTTTCTAACTTTGTTCCTTTTCCCGGCTTGTTTTAGTGGCCCAGTGAGGAATATGGCCACGCTCAAAGAAAGTAAGTGCAACTGTACAAGTCACTCAGATTTCAATATATTTGAAATAGTTTTGCTATGTACATCTGAACTTGGGTACAATTCCTTTACTTTTGTACATCAAATTAATAGCAATATGGTTTTCTGTGCAAATTGTCTTTCTTGTTGTATTATTTGGGTATTTTTATAAAATCTTTTATTGAGATATTTTCTGGAATATATTGTATTTTTCTCTTAGTTTCAATCCGACTAAAAAGTGTGAAAAATATTCAAAAGATCACGAAATCAATGAAGATGGTGTCTGCAGCTAAATATGCAAAGGCTGAGCGAGAGCTCAAACCGGCTAGGGCATATGGTGAAGGGGCCTATGGTAGGTAGACCTGACCGGAAAGTTTGGAAATTGTGCACTCGAGATTTTGAAATTTTCTCCGTGTTGGGAGTGTGGATCTTTTCTGGAACAATAGGCTAACCATAAGAGTGTTTTTCTTTAGCTCTACCAGACAAAGCCGAGTTGGACGTTGATGAGCAAAAGCCGAATCATTTGATGGTACTGCTTTCCTCGGATCGTGGTCTCTGTGGTGGTGTTCACTCAAGTTTGGCTAAAGCTGCAAAAGCGGCCATTGCCGAACAGCCTAGCACTGTGAACACAATGCTCATACCATGTGGCGACAAGGCCAGAACCATTTTACAGAAAACTCATGGTGGGTAGCTGTGGTGCTGTTACAGATATAACCACAGCCCCACAACAATGTCCTTTCTCATTATCACACACACGTTTGCTATTACCTTTAAGTGGCAATGTGCCCAGATTTTAAACCTTTAAGTGGCAATGTGCCCAGATTTTACTCTGTCTAATGCCAGACGATTTTACTCGTCAGGTGGAGAGTGCTGCCACTCAATGGGTTAATCCTGGTTTATCAAAACACTAGAATGCTCCATAACATAACTGCATATTTACTTATGCAACAGATCATCCTGCACAGTGAAACTTATTGTGATCCAAAAAGTTTTCTAACATTCAAATCCCTCATTTTATAAACCATCAAAATGTCTCCCATTTACACAGCAAAATATACTGTTGCTCTCCATTACATAAACAGCAAACCGGCTGATAAACAGTAAACTGGCTTTTAAATGAACTCCAGTGGTTTTGATCAGAACTATCTTAAAAAGTTAAAAACACTTTTTGGGGGCTGTAGCTACCTTGTTTTGGTAATGAAACATAACTAAATTAGCCTTTCTCGCGTCGTCATTTTTGGGGTACTGCCTTTTCCAAATCTGAGATTGTATGCAGTGAATAAGGGATTTGTATGACTATAATTGTGAGTTTATACTCAATATAAGTTAATTTACAGTTAAATATTTGAAAAAATGTTTTCACATCGCTTAGATTTTTCACGTTGTTTTCAAAAAAGTACCCCAAAAATGGTGAATTTGGCCTTCGTTAGAAAGACTAATTGGATGCATGAACTTGCTTTCTGTTTCAAAATTTTCTTGCACAATATTCACATTTGTAAATTTCTTTATACTATAGAAACTTGTTGTTTTTAGGTAAAAACATTTTATTCCATGTGTCTGAGTTGGGCAAGAAGCCCCCGACGTTTGCTGATTCATCCACCATTGCACAGGAAATTCTTGATTGTGGTTATGAATTTGATGTTGGAAAGATTATTTATAATAAGTTTCAGTAAGTGGTGAAAGAATCATTCAACAAAATACCCACACACCTCTCATGGAGGGTGGTTGAGGCTAATACACCTTCCCCTTCAGACATCCTAGTAGATTTTACTGTTATAGAAAGGCCAGGTGGATTGCCCCCACAGATGTTGATCATGATGGTGATGATGATGATATGAATTTGATGTTGGAAAGATTATTTATAATAAGTTTCAGTAAGTGGTGAAAGAATCATTCAACAAAATACCCACACACCTCTCATGGAGGGTGGTTGAGGCTAATACACCTTCCCCTTCAGACATCCTAGTAGATTTTACTGTTATAGAAAGGCCAGGTGGATTGCCCCCACAGATGTTGATCATGATGGTGATGATGATGATGCACCTCTCATGGAGGGTGGTTGAGGCTAATACACCTTCCCCTTCAGACATCCTAGTAGATTTTACTGTTATAGAAGGGCCAGGTGGATTGCCCCCACAGATGTTGATGATGATGGTGATGATGATAGTGATGCACCTCTCAGGAGGGTGGTTGAGGCTAATACACCTTCCCCTTCAGACATCCTAGTAGATTTTACTGTTATAGAAGGACCAGGTGGATTGCCCCCACAGATGTTGATCATGATGGTGATCATGATGGTGATGCACCTCTCATGGAGGGTGGTTGAGGCTAATACACCTCCCCCTTCAGACATCCTAGTAGATTTTACTGTTATAGAAGGGCCAGGTGTATTGCCCCCACAGATGCTGATGATGATGCACCTTTCATGGAGGGTGGTTGAGGCTAATACACCTTCCCCTTCAGACATCCTAGTAGATTTTACTGTTATAGAAGGGCCAGGTGAATTGCCCCCACAGATGCTGATGATGATGCACCTCCATGGAGGGTGGTTGAGGCTAATACACCTTCCCCTTCAGACATCCCAGTAGATTTTACTGTTACAGAAGGGCCAGGTGGATTGCACCCACAGATGGTGATTATGGTATTGATGATGAAGATGGTGGTGGTGATGATGATGAAGATGGTGGTGGTGATGATGATGATGGTGGTGATGATGATGGTGGTGGTGACTGGTGATGGTAGAGTTGATTGCAATGATGATAGTAATGTAAAGTGATGGTATTAATTAAACAGTGGAAGTATGTAATGTTCATGTCTGTATATGTTCCTAGGTCTGTTGTTGCATATGAAACACAAATGAAACCAATGTATTCTTTCGAGACCTTAAATACTGCAGGTTTGTCTCATCTACACATACACAGTTATATTTAACACGTTTTACTATCAAACACTATCCGTTTCTTAAATATTCTAAATCTACAGTATCACAACACCCATATTCTTTTCCCCGCAGAAACTCTGAGCATATACGATGATGTTGACGCAGACATTATGAGAAACTACCAAGAGTTCACTCTCGCCTCCATGGTGTTCTTTGGTATGAAGGAACAGTCATGTAGTGAACAGAGTGCAAGAATGACAGCTATGGACGGCGCTAGTAAGAATGCAGGTATCTGAAGCAGGCTTTATGCTGCCTTGTGCACGATTTGCTAATAACTGTGATCAATGATTTGTTGGAAAAAGTATGATAGCAGCTGACATGTTGCTTCTTGATAACAACTTGTGACAATCTTGATATCGAGATTATCAACTTCATGACAGACAACTTGTGAAATTATGTGATTGTGGTAGTGATTATGGTGGTGGTGGTGATGATGGTGTTGATGATGATGATAGTGATTATGGTGTTGATGATGATAGTGATTATGGTGGTGGTGATGATGATTATGGTGATGATGATAGTGATTATGGTGTTGATGATGATGATTATCGAGATTATCAACTTCATGACAGACAACTTGTGAAATTATGTGATTGTGGTAGTGATTATGGTGGTGGTGGTGATGATGGTGTTGATGATGATGATAGTGATTATGGTGTTGATGATGATAGTGATTATGGTGGTGGTGATGATTGATTATGGTGGTGGTGATGATGATTATGGTGATGATGATAGTGATTATGGTGTTGATGATGATGATAGTGATTATGGTGTTGATGATGATGATAGTGATTATGGTGGATGATGATAGTGATTATGGTGTTGATGATGATGATGTGATTATGGTGTTGATGATGATAATAGTGATTATGGTGTTGATGATGATGATAGTGATTATGGTGTTGATGATGATGATAGTGATTATGGTGGTGATGATAGTGATTATGGTGTTGATGATGATGATAGTGATTATGGTGTTGATGATGATAATAGTGATTATGGTGTTGATGATGATGATAGTGATTATGGTGTTGATGATGATGATAGTGATTATGGTGTTGATGATGATGATAGTGATTATGGTGTTGATGATGATGATAGTGATTATGGTGGTGATGATGATAATAGTGATTATGGTGGTGATGATGATGATAGTGATAATGGTGGTGATGATGATGATAGTGATTATGGTGGTGATGATGATAATAGTGATTATGGTGGTGATGATGATAATAGTGATTATGGTGGTGATGATGATAGTGATTATGGTGGTGATGATGATAATAGTGATTATGGTGGTGATGATGATAATAGTGATTATGGTGTTGATGATGGTGATGATGATAATAGTGATTTTGGCGCTTAATAGATATATCTCTTTTTCATTTCAGGCGAAATGATCGACAAATTAACGTTGACATTCAACCGTACTCGTCAAGCTGTGATTACAAGAGAGTTGATCGAGATTATGTCCGGAGCGGCAGCTTTGGAGTAGAGACATTATTTTGTTTTAAAGCGTGTTAGCCATTGTTACACAAATAAATTGTTTTCAATATTATTAACTTTGCTGTGTTGCGTAGCTCGTAGTCATGCCTGTGGATTTTATTTCTGTGGAGGTGGCGAAGGGGTTTTGGAGTCTTCAGCTAATTCGACTAAGTTTTGAAGCATGCAATTGAATTTGGAGTTTGAACTGCAGTTTGAACTGCATTGGAATTTCGCAAGTTTACGAAGGAGATGTGTAACGGGGAGCAACAATTTTGTGTCAAGTATGGAATTCGTTTGTAAATTGTCTTTAGAAAACTCTTGAAAAGCACTCCTTTCGTTTCAAACGTCCACAATTTTCTGAAAGAGGACTGGATTACCCCCCTCCCCTCCCCATTTCTTTAGCAACTTAGTATTACAATAGTCATCGATTAGAAAAAGGTCTTTTACAATTATTGCCATTCAGGACAGTTTTTAACATGGATGTACAAATTTCATACACCAATTCCCTCTGACACCCCCCCCCCCCCATATTCCAGACGCTTCGCTACGTTCCCGAAAGTGCCCTCTTTAGAGACTCTGTCCCGCTTCGTTCCGGCGCCCCCTGAGTGTCCCTCTATGTCTCCCTCTAACTTCTGCAGCCATGTTGTATAGTAAACAGTAGAAATCCAAACTTGAACAATGGGCCCTTTGCGTAACACTGAAGGCGTTTATGATATTTGATGAAAATTTTGAATAAAGTCACAAGCTGACCAACATCTTTCAACGTTATACAACATGATTTTCAAACTGACCCAACAATGTTGCTTTGAACGGTTCGAAGTAATACTGTTACTTGCATCATATTGATACAAGTTTTCAATAGGCAATTCCAGCTTTTAGTTTATGCGTGCAGGGGACGATGGGAAGTATGGTATCACATTGCTGATTATGCCGAAAAAATACAAATGGTGGCCGTGTAACACGGAGTGTTAGCGTATACTTGTAAATATTGAAATATTTCGGTTATTTTGGCAGTTTTTATTGAGATTTTTCAGCATAATCAGCAATATGATACTTTACTTCCCATCACCCCCTGCGCACATAAATTAAAAGCTGGAACTGCCTATTGCAGGACCGATAACAAGTTGTTACAACAAGCTGGTAACAAGCAGTGCGAACATAATAGGCTTGTTAAAAAAACCTTGTAAAAACTTGGTGCAAGCCAGCAGAATTGCGAGATTCTATTTTTTGTTGCTCCTATCGGTGTCGACATTCTTGAAGTTACCACAACACTTGCGGAAAGCAACCAACGTGACGTATTTATATGACACATACATTGGCTCATGTGTCATGGACCGATTCTAAAAATAGTTGTTCTTTTTTTCTCCCAAAAACTAATTTCAATCACTGCCACCTTATATAGAATACTTCAAGACCAACAGTTTTAAAAAGTATAAATATAATACCATGTATTGTCTTTGAGAAATCAAATGATAAAAATACCGACGTTCATGCTAATTTAGCAAGCAAGCCCGACTATAAGGCTATAATTTACGATCACATGCAGTAGGAATTTTGCACAGGTATAAATTCTACGTTTTGAAGGATTTGTAAGAAATGTTTGAGGGAACTTTTGTAAACTGTTAAACACCGAGCCAGTTACCATTTCTTACAAATCCTTCATAAAGCTTAGAATTTATCTTTGCAAAATTCCTACTGTGATCACAGAAACTTTGATAGTGTAAACCATCCTGTTAAACACCGAGCCAGTTACCCATACATTTCTTACAAATCCTTCATAAAGCTTAGAATTTATCTTTGCAAAATTCCTACTGTGATCACAGAAACTTTGATAGTGTAAACCATCCTTTATAACACTCAGTAAGTTTCCTCAAACATTTCTTACAAATCCTTCAAAACTTAGAATTTACCTTTGCAAAATTCCTCTGTGAGCACAGAAACTTTGATAGTGTAAACCATCCTTTATAACACTCAGTAAGTTTCCTCTGTTGGTGTAATGTACTCATGTGAATAAGATGCTTGTGATGTTACTCTGAGTGTATATCCACACCGGCCAAGCTTGAAAAATATGCCTGGACACGGTTGGAATCGAACCTACGACCTTTGGAATACTAGCTCAATGTTCTGCCAACTGCATGAGCTATACGCGGTCAGGTCGGTTCGAGTATGTGATATTTCGGAACTGAGTCTAGTTCCTTCGATATCGGTGTAATCTAATAATCATGATATTTGCTGTGTTGGTATAGTGTACTCAGGTGAATAAGGTGCTTGTGATGTTACTCGAGTGTCAAGCCTTTTAAATAACAGTCTCTGTTAAAAAATTGTTTATTAGCCTGGTAATGCATAAAATATAAAGTAATGAAAAGTTTCGGTCGAATCAGTCAATAGTACGTGCGTGCTTAATTTAATTAAAAATAGCCCTATATACCTATAAAAATAGCCCTATACCTCGAAAGCAATCTAAAAATAATCTTAAAATAATCTTAAAATAACCTATGGCGATTATTTTCATTTACAAACCAGATAAAATAACTCTATTAACGTTGTGCTAAAATAAACTAACGCTGTGCGTTTGCACGCACTTTGTGGTAAAAGCAATTTTCTTCTAGCGACAAGCGTTACGTGACGCGTTGTAAAAAAGGCGCGTAAATTAAGATTGGAAGCGCGTTAGCAATGCATGAGTTGTCCCGTTGTGGCTAGCCGTGCGGCAGATTGTCGCTGTGCAGTCATTCTAATGCAAAATAACGATCAACGAAAATTATTAATAATAAATAAGTTCAAACTCTTATAAATATTTTGTGACAGCCTTTGCCACGATAACAGTACGATCAGTTTGTCATATGCAGTTGACTTCGTACTGAGTGAAAGTCGACAAATTTTGACTGCGAAATTCCTGTATATTTTTTAAGTGCTATCTATATTCTACTGAGTACGTGTATTCAAAAAGCTATCAAGTTGGGTTTTTTAAGCTTGGTTTTTTTAAGACTCCAGATTGAATCATGACAGAAAATTTGAATTATTTCAACAAATTGGCGAAGAAGGTGAAAAAGACAGCGAATATTTCCAACACGCGAAAGAAACAGGCAAGAAATGGCAAGGAAACGACGCCGCAAATTTGGAGTGAGTATGTTAAGAACTTTTGGCGCCGATTACATAGACCGGGTTATTAAGCTAAAGGTGACCAGGCAACTTCTCAATTGCAATTACATGGACAGGGTTAGTCCGGTAAACAGGGCTGAAAAAATGAGCCGAATTGAGATCGATGTAAACTAGACTATCTTGAGAGTTTCGGATCGGTTGATTTGCTTTCCACAAGAAGTCCAATTTTGAGTCCAAAGCCTCAGAATGTGCGATTAATTTTCTGTTTTATTTATTAAACATGAAAAAGCGTACTTAGAAATGAAAGGATTCGGAAATATTACTGATGTCAAGCCAGTAGCCAAGTTTAAATCTCTCTCATGGAATAATGCGACAATTACACCACATTTTCAGATGCGGTTTTTAAGATTTTAAGGTAAATTGGATTCGTGAATGTTGCGCAACAGCAATTAGCCCGCATGCGACATATTTTCATAATTTCGAAAGGGGAACATCTCCTATATAAATATATATTATTTTCTTAAAATACGTTAAAAAATAAGTGTAGTGGTCTTTGCAAGCTTTGCGCAATATTTGCGTGTGTTGTTTACAGTGGTTGTTTATCATGAAATACATTGGCTCATTTCAAATCGCTAATGAGATCTGCATACTAAATGCAGCCACTGTTTACAGCGGTACTTACTGGGGGGAGGGGGTAAGCAGTGGGCGACCGCCCGTCAAGATATTCTCAAAATCTGACTGATTAAAGCCTGATACCCTTTTAGTTTAATAATAAAGCGTTAATCCTGCCGCACACTAGAGAAACTTGCCGAGCTAACTGCCTCAAATGGCGTCTAGCTCAACACGTTTCTCGTGAGGATTTAACCTCTCCTTGGAAAGGTCTTCAAGGCTTGCAACTAGTTCAATATGATATCAATAGGTCCATGTGCAAAACCAAGCCTGACTATGTATGTACTGCGAAGTGCTTTTAACAAAATATTCTATTCTCAATTGTTTCAGCTCTGGAAACAATCCTGAAGGAATACGAGGTGTTCGCTAATATCTGTCATGGGGGAAGCGCAAATGTCTACGCCGCCAGAAGACGATCTGATGGGGTGCCGGTGGGTGAATTAAAATGATAGATCAATATTGGGGGGGGGGGGGGTGTCTCCACTGACATTGAAGAGCGCATATTTTAACTTGCGAAATGGATCTCGTGTTTTGAATAAAGATGTCAATCAATCAAATATGTAAGCTAAAATTCTTCATTCTTTCTTGACCAGGTTGCACTGAAGGTTATCGAGAAAAGTAAACTGGGAAGTTTCGTTGAGGTAATTTTAAAATAAAAGATCGATTCTTCGTACTGGCATAAAAGCGACAGACTGAATATTAAACTATCTAACTTTCCTACAGGAAAATGGCAAACAGATCCCAACTGAAGTTTTCCTACACAAAAGTCTCCAACATAAAAACATTATCGAGTTACTGGAATACTTTGAATGTGGTCAATCTATAATACTTATTCTAGAGAGGCCCGAATCGTACATCGACCTTTTTGACTTTATAAGTACGCAAGACTTTCTCTCGGAAAATATAGCACGAAAAATATTTCGCCAAGTCTTGGACGCGACCGTGTACTGTGAACTGAAAGACGTTTTTCATCGCGACATAAAAGATGAGAATGTTATAATGGATTTAAAAACGGGCGAGGCAAAGCTGGCAGACTTTGGGTCTGGTACCCAGTTACACAACTTGGAATATACGGAATATGAAGGTATTACTAAAGTCACCCCTGCCTAAGATGGTTTTATTTTGAAACTCGACGGGAATTTCGTCTTCTTCTTTGCCTTAAATCACTAATGGTCGGATATGATCAAATGCGCCTTATATCAAGTGTTATACGCTTACCTAATTACATACTTAGCCTAGACTATTTTATCTTTACAGCAATTGTGATATTACTTTCTTAACTGTGTTTATCCTAACCCACCCTGTCAACTTTCCCTGTGGGAGGAAACCGGAGCACTCGCAGAAAACCCACGACTTTCGGCAGAGCGTTGACTGACTCTTCTCACACGAGTCCATAGCGAGAATCGAATCCACGATCTCAGAGGCGCTTGCTATGACGACCAAAAGCCCCGTGCAACATTGTTAGCTGGTGTGTCCAAAGTTTTACGCATGAATTCTGCCCACTTTAGGTACGAGGTCGTACTGTCCACCAGAATGGTACACCAACCAGCGGTATTTTGCAAGACCTGCAACAGTGTGGTCACTGGGTATTTTGCTGTACGATATGGTGTGCGGGGATGTCCCGTTTGAAAATGAGGAGGAAATCAAGGAAAAAGAACTAACGTTTACTATGTCAATCTCCCAAGGTAAGCTACGACTATTATTATCATCTGATAAATAAAGTCTGACAGTGGCGAAGCCAGCCCGACAATGGACCTTTAACCTTATAACTAAAATTTTGATCTAAACAAGTCTAGACAAAAATTTCATCACAGCTTGAAAGAGCATCACAAAATTAGTAATATTCTAAAGTTTCGTTACGAAATGTTGTAAAATGCGGATAATATAGCCCTGCGAAGTTTGGGATACCCGATTTGGGTATCAATTTCCCGTTTGTAATCTAAAATGACTGAAAATTGCAAATTTCGCAGGGCTATATTATCCGCATTTTACAACATTTCGCAACGAAACTTTGGAATATTACTAATTTTGTGATGCTCTTTCAAGCTGTGATGAAATTTTTGTCTAGATCAAAATTTTAGTTATAAGGTTAAAGGTCATTTGGTCATGTTATGCAAATATTTTCGTGTTCATAGGCCGTCAATTTCTAAAGAAATGAATGATAATAATTGAAAATTGCATTGCATGACCAAATTGTCGGGCTGGCTTCGCAATATAATCTTTACTCTAAGACAAAGGCGACTATAATTTGCTTTCCTCAAGCATTCTAGTACGCCGTAGTTGTTCAAACTGCCACTTGTTTACATCATTTTCGTCATACTGATTTAAAAAAACATTAATGGTAATAAATTATTTGCCATATCCATTCATGGGTTTTACAAATGGGGATAGTATCATTTCCCATCTTCAAAACCATTAATGTTTTTGTAAAAAAATGTTAAAAAAAAGTCTGTCAACATGTCTGTAAATCGGTCGCGACGTGTTTAAATTAGCCACATTCTATCAAGCAAATGTTTCTTCCTATGCAACTTAAAAGATACAGCTTTCCACATCTCTTCTAATGCGTTCTAGAACGTTCTAAACACTAGATAATGAGACTTGTGTGTCCTCATTACTGTCATTAGTGAATGCAAATTTAAGCGGGAAGAGAGGGGTTGATAAATTTCTATTCAAACAATATTTATCCTTTCCCACCGATAACTAGAAACTGTGTAAAGCCCTGGGCAAACTAGGAAACATTGTTGTGGAAACATTTGTGATTCTCGATATTTCCTCAAATGTTTCCCTGTTTGCCCACCCGTGGAAACAATGTTGCGGAAACAAAATTTGCTTCCCGAGAAGCAAAATGGTTCCTAGCGAATTCAGAAACATTTGATGTTTCCTAGTGTTTACCCACTCTGGGAAACATGGCGAAACATTGGTAGGAAACAATGTTTCCTAGTTTGCCCAGGGCTTAAGAACCTCTTCCGCTATGTCACCCACACCACAATATATTTCTGATTTTTAAAATTTTCCGGGGTAAAATGGATCCCCCTGATATAGTGCCCCCCTAGCAGTGCCCTTTTTTGGCAACTGTATTTACCTTAGGCTTAGGATCAGGATCAGACCCTTGATTATTTTTATGTTATATTCGTAAAAGTATTATTAAGATTCTCAGTGCTGCGGAAATAATTTTTTCTGCGGTTAAAATATAGCCGCATGACATCCAGTTTGAGAACTTGTTAGTGCCATACAGTTACACTGTCCGAGTGTCGACTTTAATTATTTGCAGAACATTTTCAACGTTCTTTTGCAATTTCAGAAAGTAAAATATTTTTTCTATCCCTGTTTAGATGTCCAGAACCTTCTAACCACGATGTTGGATAAAGATCCTCAGAGGAGACCAACGATAAAAGATATCTTAAACCACCAATGGACGAAAGATAACAAAAACAACGAGTGATCACTTTAAAGAACTCGCTGCACCAAGCATGCGATGGTGAAGAATCTTTTTGTGATTGAGGAATTTAAGGAGCATAGGAATTTCAACCACGACAAACACGGAATTGAGATTGCAGAATTGCATGTTGCTGTTGCGATCAATTATATGCATGTCACACCACGCAACAAATGCAAAATATTTTGACAATGACCAGAACATCCTTAAGTATCCTTAAGTACAGAGCATCCTTAAGTACAGAGCACCTTAAGTATTCCGAATAGAAGTGAGTGCGCGGGGAGTGATGGGAAGAGGCACAAACGATTATGTGAATTGTGTACATAATAAAATTTTAAACATCCTTGTGTAATTACTTGAAAATTTGGTAAAATTACTAAAAACACTGATCGAACACTGCCAATGAGCAATAAATTTCGATTGTCGATACGTGAGGAACCAAAATGAAGCTTATATATCTACACTATAAATCACTCTGTTGTGAATAAATAGAACGTATGTATATATGTACTATACTATATTAATAAAATATTATTCCAATTGGATTATCAGAGTTGGGCTCCATCGATTAACAGATGTGTCTGCAAATGTTACGCAACAAATATAGGAATCTTTGTGTATTGTAAATTGTAGCAATATTATTTCTTACATTACTGTTCCATATAATAAAACATGTACTGCCTATACGAAAACCATACTATATACACTAGATAGTGCATCTAATTATTCTGCAATTCAAAAATTGAAGCCGTGATTGCAGACTCAGGATATTCCCATGAAACGAGAAGACTCGTATGTTTTAGTTGTATTTCTTAAACAGGGAACTTAAACATTATTCATTAAGTTAAACCTATTCCAAATACATTTTCAAACTATTCAAATGATGGAAGTTATTGTTGTTTTTTAAGCGTTTATTAGCGAGTGGGAAACTCCAACATGGCCCCCATCTATTCAAATGGGGGTAACCGCTGGAATATTCTTGGCTTCAATTTTACTAAAAGAGATGCGCTATATATAAGATATCTATGGCGAAAACGAACGATTTTCTTCCAGAAGGTACCAAATGAATTTCCCCATAAAATAAACCACTTCTTTCGAACGAGAACGAACCGTTTCCACCTTCGTAAAACAACGAGTCGTTTATTTCTACATACGCGTAGGCAACTCAACTACATCTAACAGCTCATTGATCGTTTTCTGTACAATCCCGGGCGTTTTACGCGGTTACATAATATATACAGTAGACCTGGGCTAACCCTCTTACAGTATGTACATACGCAACTTTACTCGCGGCGTCTTTCTCACATTGCTGAGAAATGAAGAGATTGCGGAAGCTAGAAATGGACAAGAAAACAAATTTAGGAACAATATTTATAAATGTCTCAAAAGTAAAAATCTCACAACTTGTCAACAAGATGTGTTCGCAACAGGCTTGTGGCAAGCTTGTCAACAAGTTGCAACAATGGCAATGCTGTTATTTTATCAAGTTGCTACAAGGTTGTCCCTCACAACTTGTTGACAAATTGTTGAATTGCAGGACGATAACAAGTTGTTGGAACAACTTGTAACAAGTCTGTTGAACTGAACAACCTTCTAGCATGCAAAGCCGTTGACAACTGGAAACAAGCGGTGCGAACATATCCTGTTAACAAGTTGTTGGAACAGTATTGTTACAAGTCTGCTACAGGTTTGTCACAACTTGCGCGTTATTACGTGTGTAGTTGAAATGGCGCACTTGCCGGCATGTGCCAAACACGTGCTTACCTGGGTCGGATACGCTGTACCGTATATAGCATTCGCTTGTTCTGGAGCGATCATCGTGGGGTGCATGGGAGCTGAAGGTACGAAGAAATTACAATTACTACAAGGTTTCTTTCGAAACATTGCATTAAGATGAATGGCTATCACTCTTTCAATTTTACAGAAAAAACGTTTTTGCGAAGTGTAGACCCTAAGTTCTAACCAACGAAAAAATGTCAAATTTTCACTTTGATCTATCATTGAGACTTTCCCAATGGGAGGTGCAGGACTTTTCAGGGGAGGTGAAAACATTCTCAGGGGAGGTGAAAAACGATCTCACACCTCCCCTCGAAATCTGGCCATGTTTTCAACACAAATAAAGACAGTTAATTTAGACTAGGTTTCCTCCTATAAACTATAGCAGCACTGGATGAATTAAGAATTGTCTTTCGCTTGGCCTCTAGAGAGAACTGTTTAAAACATATAGAGCTTAATTTCAATACAAATTAAGTTAGTTTAGATTAGCTTTCCTCCCCTAGGAAAACTAGACCAATTAGGGATGACCCATACCGGACCTCTAGCCGGAGAATTAAGTTTAATAAGAACTGATAGAGCAATCCAGTATAAAACGTTTTCATTAAAACCAGTGAACTGTGATGGTCAGTTCCACATGGGCACACAAGCTCACCACTATAATGCGAAATATTTCGACCTTCATCGTCCAGTTCTGATCCTTCACCAACTGTTCCCATTCCTCCCTTTTCACCTTTCATTGACTGAGAAAATAAAGAAACAACGTTTTAACAACGTTGGAATACCAGGGCTTCAAATTCGCTTTGGATACTGGAAATCACAAGCTCAGTATCCTGACGGATACTGAAAAAAATTCTGTTCACGGCTGATATTTCTTGACAAAATACCGTCAAAAATAATACAAGAAGATAAACAAAGTGAAAGGCAATGAGTTCAAAGTGAATTTGACTGAGCGGGAAAGATACTCTCAAAAAAGTGCCAAAGCCAAGCGAAGTATGAACTCACTCAAGAAACAAAGCATTGTCGAAAATTTAACATGGCTTGAAAAAATCCTTTCTATGGTACGTAACAAGCTCATGAACGAAAAGATGTTTTTCAAATGTGGGATACTAGATTTTCTGGGTGGATACCAGATTTTAAGTTGCTAGTGTCTCGTTGGATACTGCTGAAAAATTCAAATTTGAAGCCCTGAAGACACTGGACACTATTGAGAACAAATGGTAAGTATCGGTGAAGATGCATCATCATTCTAATAAATCATTCGTCTAAGGGGCCGTTAATATGTGTGCATATTAAACTGGGAAACACACCCAACTGAGATCTGCAAGTCATTGCTAATGTGAATAAAAATCATGAGATGATTCTATGCCAGGCCATATAACCATACAAGGGGGAGGGGCAGCTGCCCCCCCCCCCCAGAAAAATTGAAGCTGGGCAAATTATGAACAGAATGTAAGATGGGCAGATAATAAATTTAAAAGCAAGAAATATGTAAGATATAAATAGGTGAAAATGTACAATGTTGCCAAATATGTTATTTCTTGCCAAAGAAATAAATGTATGTAATATTGTTGGCAAAAAAATGCAAGGCCTTCAAAAATTTTTGCCCCTCCCCCCAGTCGGGATAAATGCAAAAGTCGGGCGAATTCCTCTTAAAATAAAAATAACATATATGTTATAATTACATCTCTGTATTTCTGTAGATATATTTTCAGTGGTTCAACATATTGATCAAAACCCAGCGTTGTCATTGCAAACAAAATATCTTCACCATTTATGGTCTTTCGTTTTTCTTGCTGACATCTCTCGCTTGCTCTGGAATTTTGTGTTAAGGACTAAGTCGAAAGAGGCTATAAAATACGCCGGATTTCGGCATACCGGCACCTTGCAGTCACACATTTGGCTCATTGGCTGGGCGGTACCTTACTAAGTGCCATCGCTCAAAACGTCAACGTTTTGCTAGTGGTATTTTTCCAGCAGTTGAATCCCTCTAAATCCACAGCTTTCTGGTGTTATTATCAATACCTAGGTATTGTACTTTTTTTTTTGGGGGGGGGGGATATTTATCGGAATACTTTTGAAGGAAATAAAGGATACTCGCTAGTTATAAAACTTATAAATTCTGAAACACATTCTTGTACACATTCCTTAGCATCTTTTGCAATCTGAAATACAGAAAATGTGAACAAACTTGTCAGTTTTAGCCTGTCAAGAGTCAAGGATAAAAAACAAACAGCTGTCAGTAGTATATTTTTTACCTTCCCATTTTTTGGTATGGATTTCTTCATAATTCTGGCAACATTGGCAATAGGAAGAAAACGATCCTAAAGTTTGAAATAGATGTTCCGAGTCAGGGTGATAGCCAGGATCTGAAAACTGGGTGTTTGAATTGCCCATTTTGGGCCATCAGGTAACTAACGAATACCACTTGGGGGCCAGGGGTGTTGCATATTTTTGGCAATACCACTAGTGGTCAATATAGGTACTATGCAAACAAAAAGTGTGAATAATCCGCCTACCAGATCAGGCTGGACCCATCCTTGTAGTGTTGGGGATTGTATTGTTACTTACCTGTTCTCTTAGTACTTCATACTCGTCTCTATCTTTTTCATCTTGATCCATATCGTCAAGGCTGACACTGTCTGAAATATAACAATCAAACCACTTAACACAAATATCCAGTATTGAAAGTTCCCTGTGCCATCTGCATAGGGTACGGCGGTTGATCAATAAACCGGGAAAAAAATTATGTTTTTTGAACTGATTCAACCAATGTTGTTCTAGGCAAAAAACAAAAAAATATGGTTGACTCTATAGTCATCGTTGTATCACTTCTCAAAACTGTTTGAAACTCAGTAAAATTGAAACAAAATGGCACTTTGTCAAAATAAAAGTGCTAGTTCAACGTTTTCTGATGAAACTTCCAAATGTTATTAAGAAAGTGAGAAAATAGCACACCTAACAGTGGCTTACTGCTTACATACTAAGGCAGTACTATAACAGGAGTGATGACATGGTGGTACAATACTTACCACTGACATTATGTGGTTCTGTCGGTACATACGCCTGTGCCCCAGCCTGACCCACTGTTAGATACTCCTGCGGTATTACAACAGTCCCTGATACACTTCCTGCCGTTGTTTCAATCGCCGCAACCTGTCCTCTCCCATCCTCGCCAGCCGACACACTGCTGACCGCCTGCGGGATGGCACCGGTCACCTCGGTTATTGCCAACCCAACACTTGCATCCGAGACACTCGTTTGACCTTTCGAGGCATCTTGCCCTTGAGGTGAATTAGCAGCTTGCATTTGTGCTGAACCGTTTGCAAGTTGTGTCTGGGTAGCAAAAGTGGGCAGACCACCATTTTGGCTAACTCTGAAAGTTGCTTCGTTGGCATTTATAGCTAAACTTTCGCTTTGTGAGTTTCGCGAATCGCCATTATTACCATCCATTGAAGTTTAAAGCTAAATAAAAACCGGCATCAGATTTTTAAAAATTGTAGCCAAATACTGAATATATAGACTGTAGTTTTATATACTGAAATTTATAATTGGTCCCTCTCAGTATAAATCCTCAAAAATGTTGATAAATTACTAGTAAGCCCAAATTTCTTTGCAAGTTTAATCCAAAAAATGTACGTATTTATCGTAAATATGAACATCCTTTACCGTTTACGAAGAAAGAAAGATATTAAAGTCGATGCATATGGCGGCTTTTTATATAGCAAGGCACTTCGCTATTGTTTCAGAAATATAGATATATTTGTACAATTCTAAAAAGAACTACAGCGTAAAAGACTATGGGGCATAAAGGTAAAATCTAAAGTACATTTTCGAAGTTCTAATGTAAACAAAATGGCTAAAATCGTCCGTAAACTTTGCCTTCGAGGACAGACTGTTTCAATGCATTCGAGAGCTAGAATATTTCGCGCCACCAAAGGTTAAAATTCTACAGCCAAAAAGCGAGGGAAAAAGTAACGAATCACATTTGCCGTAGCGGCTTTGACAAAAACAAACCTTGTTGGTCGATTCGGCGTTTCGTCTCGTTGCAAGAACCAGTAATGAGCGACTTTTCTCTCGAATGCGAGTGGCTGATAGCGACCACTCATAAGCTTCCACACTTTGCGACAACAATAAGACCAAATTGATCTCCCTGCGAAAATAACACACGGCGCTTGTCCAATCAGAAGCCGTTACTTCCAGACAAAGGCACGCCGACAGCCAATCAGCTTCGAGTAAAATTCATTAGCGTAATAAGATAGCATGACAATATATACCGTATATGAATAATTTAGTACAAGTTTCTTTCTTCAAATCAATGTCTGGAGAGTGAACGACTTACAAAGGGTTATTCGTTTTATTTCAAGTGAAAATTAGTTTAGTCTTTGTTGTTTAATACATAACAGTATAAATATAGGCATTTATGTTTGCTTGCAGCAATTCGTTTTCTAAATGTTTTGGGAAGATTAAATTGTCTAAATTGTTTACTTTATTATTCAATATCTACACTGTATTGAAACAGCTGTCTTGAAATATAATATCGCATCCGCATAGCGACGAAAATCTACATATATACTTTCCTTTAGTAAAGGCCAAGGGTAAAGATATTCTTAAAGATTGACTATTGTATAAAATATTCATCATGTCTCAATTCTCCTGCTGGTTGCACACTATGAGTTAACTGATAATTATTATAGCTAGAATTAGCAGTCCTCTGCCAAAGCAAAAAAGTTTGTTTAGAATATTTTGTGTAATCATGTTCTTCCATAGGTATGTATTTTTTTTCAAACCGGCATCCTGTGACATCTTGAAAATCCTGAAATCCATGTTTGCTTTCTTCCAGTTTCCTGTATGTTATCTCACTTCCCAAATAACATATTTTGGAAGGGAAGTTCTTAATCATTTCATTGAAAGGTTATTCTACCTTTTTCTGATAAATTTACACATTTTATCTACATCTGATTGCTTTGAACTGACTTGAATGCATTTTTTCCATAGAGATTTTTGCTTAATCTGATTGAACTCAGATGTAATGATCAATTCAATACAGAAACTGCAATCATTATTTCATTTCAACTTCCAGATCCAGACATTCTTTCTAAATGATAGTGTCCAAGCCTTTCTAAATCATCTAAACTTAGTTCTTTTAAAGTAGTTTTAAAATCCTAAAAAAGAAGAAAAAAAATTATAAGAATATAGAGGTATTCTTAGACATTGAGAAAACACTGGGGGCAACCATAAATGAGAAATCTAACAACTAACCTCTTTGAAGTTATTCAAGACTACTTCGGCATCTGCTTCAGAAAAATGTTTGCATAAAAATTTCTTAAGTTCCATCCATAAAGCATCTGTCTGTTGAGTTGTGTTCTGTGATGTTGTCTTTTTGACAAACACATGAATCTTGGAATTCTCACAGATTTTATTATCACTTAAACTGGACGAATCTAAAAAAGAAAAAATTACGTCAAAAAAGTGGGGCATCTTCGTAAGTGGGATGAATTTCTCTTGTGTTTATACAAGAAAATTTCATCCGCTTGCCAGGACAATTTTTTTATTTTGACGGTTGTTTAAAAGAGCTTGTGGGAGCATCTTTGAACTTTTATCCTGGCTACCGGACCAGCCTGAGTGTCTATATTGAGACATTTTGATCTCGGCAAGCGAGATTTTGCTACAGCCACCGGGCCAGCCCACTTGTCCATATAAACGTATAGTAATTTCATATAGTGAAAGTAGCTACACAGTGATATCTCACTTACTGGGCTGTCTCGCTAAGCGGGCCAGCCCGGCTTCCATATAACAACCTCTTGGGCTCATTCAGCAAGCCAAACACGTAATAGTAAAGATTGGATGGGGATGGTTATATCTTTCCTCCTGATTGGAGATATGCTACTGTAGTTTGCTTGATACTTGGCATAACACAAATTTGCTTTGGTCTATAACATCTAGCATATGGTTTAGCTGCTGGAATGAACTCTGGAATGACAAATATCATGCTGACAACTTGACAAAAGAGAACGACATTATTACAACAACAGAATACAAATATAGGAAATGTCATCTTACCAGCCAAAGGACTGCCTTTGAAGACAAGTCTTTGTAATTCACATGGTATGTCTAACTCTCGCTCTATTTTCTTTTTCACAGATGATACTGCGTCTAAAGGATCTACCTGTAGTGATTTAATAGTGGAATCATCATACATAAATTTTTGAGTTGAATCACTTTTATTACATGATCGAAAAGAAATCTAACAATATTAGGTGATTCTACCGTATTATGTATTACCTCAATAGTTGTTTCTTGACTCCCAAGTAGTTTTACATAGATTTTCATACTGGATTTTTTTAGAAAAATTGAAACTATTCGATGCTTTCTCTGTAAACAATGCGCTAAATCGTAGCAAAATGGTATACACCACTGAATGTAACAATAGCAGGCTCACACATTTGTAGCCTGCATGGCAGGCGGTCCCCTAGCCTGCATGGCAGGCGGTACGTAGGAAATACCGCCTGCCCCAGCCTAGACCTAGGCCTTCTAGTCTTATTTATATTTTTAATATTCAGCGCTTTTTCACAGGAAAAGACTGGGACTAGGTGATTTGGGGGCGTGGCGGAGGAAGCAAGCCTAGAAGGCCTAGTTGATTTCCCAACAACAAGGCCAAAACTGCCCTGAAACTGCCCTGGTTGCAAAATGCCCAATTATTGCGTTCTCAAACAGAATTATTTGCAACTTAACGGCGAATTTAAACCGATACAGGTAAAATAAACTCATTTATAGTATAAACTTACTATTTTTATTTGTATACACGTCTAGAAAATCGGTTTTTTATCATAAAGTTCGAAGCAACACTATTATTTAATATGTTGACCTCGATGTTGACAAGGTGTAGCGAAAGAACAAAATGAGTCAAAATATATACCAAAAGTAGAATCTTTCATGAAATTTTGTCTTATACACAAGTACATTAATATATATTTTCTCAATTTTGGCAAGAAGCAGTCTTGTGTTTGTAAAATATACAAAATAAAACGGATACATATATTATTAGCCCGTACAGTACTGTATATAAAAACGTACATTGTTTACAAATGGTATATCCGTAATATTTGAACAATAATTTCAAAATCCTCATACCCAATTCGCAAATATAGTTATTCAAAGCAAAACAGTAGATTGTCTAGCGAATAAAAGAATTATTATTTTGTGCCGTTTCGCTACACCTTGTCAACATATATAAATAGTGTTGCTTCAAACTTTATGATAAAAACCCCGATTTTCTAGACGTGTATACAAATAAAAATAGTAAGTTTATACTATAAATGAGTTTATTTTACCTGTATCGGTTTAAATTCGCTGTTAAGTTGCAAATAATTCTGTTTGAGAACGCAACAATTGGGCATTTCGCAATCAGGGCAGTTTCAGGGCAGTTTTGGCCTTGTTGTTGGGAAATCCACTAGGCCTTCTATATTTTCGCTTGCGTCAGGCTTGTGTCCTTCCTCCGCCCCGCCCCCAAATTACCTAGTCCCAGTCTTTCCATGTGAAAAAGCGCTGAATATTAAAAAAATATAAATAAAAATAGAAGGCCTAGGTCTAGGCTGGCTCAGTGGGTGTGACCAGTGAACTATAAATAACTGGAAGGCTAAGTCAGGGGGGGAAGTTGAAGCCGTGCTTGAAGCTTTTTTTGTAGGTAGACCCAGTCCTTTTTAATTTTTTTTTTTCAAAATATGCACATTTTTCGATCAGAAAAATCTTGCCCCAAAATATTAGTTATACTACCAAATTTAATTTATATCAGTAGTATTATAAATGAATTTAATATTCGCAAAGCAAACAAATCACGAATTAGCAAAAAAATACGAAAAACACGGCCATAAGCATGAACGGTCAGAAAAACCGCGCGTTTTAGGCTGCTTTTTCTGAGTTTTTGGAAGTTTAAGATAAAACTAAGACGTCATACCTCAGGAATTATTTAAACCCATGCAAAATACATCTGTATGCGAAGTTTCAAGAAGATTGAACGTTTTAAAGTCGAAAAAAAGCATTTGAAAATTGACAAAAATATTGTCTATGTATTGCTATGATTGCTACTGTCAGTCGGTCGCTCACATCAGAGTCAAAGTTTTCATAGAAGGTTTATTAAAAAGCTAATTTTAAAGGGGAGAAAAATGTAAAACCGAAGTGTGTTTTGCTTCTAAAAAAGGCTATGCCTTATAGCTGTGTTGTTTGTGGATGCAGGAGTAATAAAAATAAGGAAAACGAGGAACACATAGAGCATATAGCCTACCACAGGTGAGTCTATATGTGCATGCATAATGTTTACATAGGAAACCAATAAAAAATCAGGAAATAATTGCATAATGTTTTATTTACCAACATATCTACACACAGTATATACATAGTCTGACAATTCACATTTACAATATAATAATATAAACTTTAAGATTCCCCTTGAAGAATAAGGAGCTGTTGGAAAAATGGGAGGAAGTGGTCAAGAGAGTAAAAAATTATGGAAATGGATGGAGGGCAACACAGCATAGTTTTATTTGCAGCAAGCACTTTGAAAAGGATGACTACATTCAACTCCCAACAGCTGATACAGTTTCATGCAGGCTTAAAAGAAGTGCCATACCCTCATTGTTCAAGATTGAACTATTTTCATGCCACATCTCGGATGAAGCAACAAGACGGCTACAAACAGAATGTAACAACATGCCGGTACACACAGCACGGAAACGAGTCAGTCAACGGGACACCCCACAACCAGAAAAAGTGCATATAAACAAAAATTATGAAAAAGTCTTCAGAATGGGAAGCAACGATACAGAAATATCTAATAAGCAATTGAAATCAAAAGTAAGAAACTCACAGCAACAACTGCCTCGATGCAAATCAAAAATCGCCAGCATGTCAGATGTGATCAACAACTTAGAGCAGAACTTGATTGTCAAAACCGAAATTGCTGACAGATTGCATGCTTCATTTGATAAATTACAACTATCCATTTTCCACAATGCCAAAAACAACACCACTATCTCCCCATGTGGCAGACGATACACAGAGAATTCTCATCAAAGAATTCTCTCTAACATTATACTTTTATTCACCAAAGGCATATGAATATGTGAGGTCAATCATACCACTGCCAAATCCATCTTTGATTAGAAAATGGTCAAGCTCAGTTGACTGCGAGCCAGGTTTCCTGCAGGAGGCATTCCAATCGTTGCAAAGTGAGGCAGATAAAACACCATCGAAGAAAGACTGTGGTCTCATTATTGATGCCATGTCAATAAGGAAACAAACATTGTGGGACCCAAAGAAAGAACAGTACTCGGGTTTTGTTAATTATGGCCCAGTACCACCTGAAGATCCTGAAACCCTTGCATCTGAAGCATTAGTTTTCATATTGGTTGGAACACGAACCCGGTGGAAGTGTCCGATTGGTTATTTTCTGGCTGATAAAATGAATGCTAAAACCCAAGCACAGCTGGTTAGGATGGCCTTGGAAAAGGCAGCTGACGCAGGATTAAGGGTTTGGTCAATAACTGCTGATGGTACATCTGTCAATGTCAGCACGTTTACTCAATTGGGTTGCATATTTGGTACAACATACGACTCCATGGTAACCATGTTTAAGCATCCATCACGGAATTACAATGTATATGTAATATTGGATCCATGCCATATGCTAAACCTCGCACGAAATGCACTGGCCAGCTTAGGTTCATTTTATGACAGTGACGGTGGTGAAATTCAATGGAAGTTCTTTCATCTTCTCCATAACCTTCAAGAAGATGAAGGATTGAATTTAGGAAACAAATTCTCAGCACAGCACCTACAATTTCAAAAACATAAAATGAATGTAAGATTAGCTGCACAGACCCTAAGCTCATCCAGTGTCAAATGCAATCGAATTTCTCGACGTTTCGATGAAGCGACCGCAATTTAAGAACAGCGGGCCTACTGTAAAATTTGTAAGAAATATTGACAGAGCATTTGACATTCTTAATTCTAGATGTCCTCGGGCTAAGGGATATAAGCAGCCTCTGAGACACAAATCAAAAGATACATGGGAAGATTATCTAAAATCAACAGCAGAATATCTACTATCACTGGTTGGGAAACAAGGAAAGAATAAAGAACAAGAGCTTCTTTCTACTCACAGAAGAAAAACATTTATTGTTGGTTTTGTAGCTACCATAAAATCCACCATCAACATGGCAAATGAAATGTTTTCACTGAAAGAAAATCCTTTTGCATATCTGTTAACGTACAAGTTCTCGCAAGATCACATGGAATTGTTGTTCTCGTGTATACGCTCTAAGGGTGGTTGGAACAATAATCCAAACAGTATGCAGTTAGTATTAGAAAAATGCTTTTCACGAATGCAGCGAAAGCCTCGAAAAATTCCAATTGTATAGATTTTTCAGAAGGTTTTTCTTCGGGAATAATTCCAATTTTAAATAAGAGAAAACACAGATCCCCGCTTATCGAAGAAGAAAAGCCAGAAAATGATTCCGGGTTTACGCTAACAGAGCAGCTGCTAGTTGAATAGTTAGCTGAAAGAGGACATTCAGAATTAATGTGAAACATTCTGTTCTACATCAGTGCATTCATAGTCAAAAAGTTGATAAAATTACTTGCCTGTACAGCTTGCAGAAGTTGTCTCATTTCAAGTCTTTCATCCTCATCAGTCGACCATGATTACTGCGGTGCAAAAACCACACAACATTCTGACACTCCAGCAGCCTCAGCTTTCACACTATTCGTCAACAGAGGCGGTTTAACCATTCCCTCGCAATCAGTCTACGCCGTTGTCAAGTATGCTGAACATATTTTTAAAGCGTTTGTTGTCAAGGATGGGAAACACATCAACTCAAGTGAAAAGCTACGCAGTAAAATGATCATGGAAATCTGCCATCATTTTGTTGTCAATGAGTCCTGTCATTTAAATATCTTTGGCGATCATGATCCCGGGATGAACGAAGTTGGTTTGGACGAAGACCACAAGCTAAAATTGATCAAGTGCACTGCCGACAAGTACTTTACGCTACGACTCTTCACGTACGGCAAGCGTTATTGTGAATCTGTTGTTCAAAATGGAAAACAAAGTGACAGATTTCAGTTAACTCAATTAATTTTGTTTAATAACCAGTGAAATATTAATAAAATACTGGTATATTTGTACTTATCTTTGTGTGTTGTGCTGTTTTATATGGCGTTGTTAATATTTAACTGACCATATCTTGCTGGTTGCCAGTTTGTCTGAAATATGTTCCGTTTAAAATAGCATTGATCGTTGTCATTTTCAAACTTTTTCGACTTCGTCCCACTTCTTATACACAGAAGACTTTTCCTAGCTCATTAGAAATACATAAAGCATCTCAAAAACGAAAGAGAAAGGCAACAAATTGTGCAATTTTACATCGAACATTTTCCGTTTTCGATCGCCGCTCCTCAAGCACGCGTGCTCCAGTTTCCGGGGGGGGGAGGGAGTGAAATTTTTTTTGGGCGAGCTGGCTTCAACCAATCGTAGGACTCTATCATAGGATAACTCCTTCCAGTTATATTTAGTTCAATGTATATAGCGCGAAGGTCTGAGCATGAGAAAAATTTCAAATATTATACTGTTTTAATTAAGCTGTCAACGAAGAGATTTACATAAAAATTTTTTTAAAAAATTCAGAGGCGGCAGAAATCGAGAGGTGGGCGGTGACGCTAACCAAGTTTTTTTTTTTTATTTAGCCTAATTTTACGCTGAAACATCCTGTCAAATAGGGTAAACTATCCGTATTTACTGACCAAAAATTTAAATAATTAAATTTGCACTGGTTTTCCCCCGACAGCATTTGTGAATTGTTTTGATTCAAATTATTACAGTACTGTTCCAAGTACTGTCCCCCCCTCCCAGTGCAGAAAAATTTGAAATGTTTGTTGATTTTCGTTGTCCAATGAGGGTTGAGTGTATTTTGAGTTGTTCAACGACTTCCGCTTTTTGTCCAGCAAACCCGGCACGTGGATATATTTAGCCTGTGTACAGCCGTTATATTTCATGAACTCCGGTCGAAATATATGAGAATACAAGCGGTATAGCTTACCTATTTGTGCTTCGGATCAACTTACTCTCGACGAAACGCGAGGGAGAACGTCTGTGAGTTGGATGCATAATCCTTGTTCAAGTCACGTGGATAGTTCCCAGATTTGGGGACCGTCCTCTGATTGGGACAGTGCTTTATTTGAATAATTTATGGTAAATGAGCTATTTCATTGGTTAATTGATAATTAGCATGCGTTTAAAATAACAACACAGTTAAAATTCCAGATCAAGAATCGAGATTTCTTTCGGAGCATACAAAGGTTTGAAAGACTTGAAATACAATCTGAAAAACGATACACCAGAAATATATTGCATATATTTCTCGATGAAGAGATTTGTTTTGAGTGCGAACAATGCTGAACGATGATCATTGCCGGCAAGTCCGGTGTACAAGCTTTGAGTTCTTGGTGTACATATATATGGCGTATATTTGTTTACAAAGACAAAGTATTAAATATAAACACAACTGGTTATTCAAAAGGTGCATTTTAAGGTAGTTATAAGTTAACTGGCCAAGTAAGACGAAGTTAAACACATTACATGTAAAGAAAATGCTTTATCGCGAGGGGTCGGGACATATAAACAGATTGTCAATTTATTAAATTGTCAATGGACCATTCCCCAATTAACCAAAATTTTGATCTCAACAAGTCTAGACAAAATTCCATCATAGCACGAAAGAGCATCACAAAATTAGTAATATTCCAAAGTTTCTTTGCGAATGTTGTAAAATGCGGATATAGCCTTGCGAAATTTGCAATTTTCAGTCATTTTAGATTACAAACGGGAAATGGTTACCACTTTTCCAAAATTTTGATCTTAACTAGCCTAAACAATAATATGGCGTTCCGTTCCGGTCAAAATTATTTCAAGTCAACAAGTAATAGTCAAACATCATATAAACATGTTATAACTCTCAATATAATGTTGAAAATATCAAGATGAAGTTCAAACTCAAAAAAATAAAACGAAAGTTTAAAGCATATACTTCAAAACTGCAAAATACATTTCAAACCTCAAGGGATATATATGAAAATTAAACGCAAGTCCAAACTTCTATTTATAATACGAAACTCCCAAATGATAAGTCAAAGCCGCGGCTCATAAAAACAAGTCGAAAAGTCAAAAATATAAATCGAAAGGAAACGGAAGTAAGCAACTTAATACAGAGGAAGTCAGGAAACGGAAGTTAACCTATGAACGTAAATAAGCAATATGGCGGGTGTAAGAAGCCAGCTTAACGATTTTGAAATTGAAGAATTCTTTCGTTCTTTACAAACATTGCTGAGCTCGTCTTTTAACAATAACATTTCCTATGATTCAGCCGAATATTTTTCTCGCCGTCTGGATGTTTATGAGAGAAATATAAATATTCTTCTCACAAGACTTAGTGAATCATATCCCATGGAACAACAACTGTTGTCAGATATGCACACCCTTCAGGTGATTGTTCGTCATCAAAGGGAACGATGCGAAGCACTTTCCTTTCGCCCTTTGTTGGAGGAGGACCACGGTATTGTTCAGGCAAGTGTAGGAGCAACCATTTCTGGTGTGGGAAGACCAAGACTGGATGTCTCACAACAGGCGATCGAAGCTCTCCATTCTCAAGTTGGGCTTTCCTGGGCAGAAATTGCAAGAAATTTTGGAGTGTCTGAGAGTACCATACGACGACGTCGACGTTCATTTGTCTCGGCTATAAATACGAACAGGGAATCACATTCAACCATAAGGGACAATGAACTTGATATACTTGTCCGTGGCATCTTACAAATAACACCCAGGATTGGCTATAGATTAGTACAAGGTGCCTTACGAAGACGTGGATTGCGTATCCAAAGACGCCGGGTGCTAGAGAGTCTTCAACGTGTTGACCCGGTCACAGTTACCATGAGAGCGTCAAGAAGCATTGTCAGAAGACGTTACTCTGTACCATGCCCAAATGCATTATGGTAGGTATCATGACCGAAAATGGATCCTTGTTTTTCAATATTTAGTTCCTTTCGATGTGATGGACCTTTGCTACGTAAATTACATATGAGCAAATGTTTCTTTACAGTGGTTCCATATGCTCTTTGTGAGGCGAGAACGGAAAGCCTCTAGCTGTCACATCGATTTTAAATATGATGTAATGTTATGAAAACTGAATTATCTCAGTAAGAAGTTACCTAACAGTTTTCTGTGTTCTTTCAAATACATCAACAAAACATTTTGCGTCATGTACACTTTAACCCATTAAGCTGCAGAGTCTCCCCACTGACGAATAAAGTTGTCAGGTGTTAGACAAGTAAAAAAATAAGTAGAGCACACTGCAGCTAAATGGGTCAATGCAATATGTTAGGTGTTTGCATGATTATTTTACACTTTTTGGTGAACGTCCCATCTTTTTCTCACAAAAGCTATGCTTAGCAAGAAGTATATATGTATTCCTTTAGTATTTCATGGCTGGTTAACCCACTTTTTTACAGGCATTTGGATGGTAATCATAAGCTTATCCAGCCATACAGAGTAGTAATCCATGGTTGCATAGATGGGTATTCAAGATTAGTGGTTTTCTTACATGCCTCTACCAACAACCAAGCCTCCACAGTTCTAGAATGCTTTAGAGGAGCTGTCAACCAGTATAATCTTCCATCACGTGTCAGGACAGATTTGGGATTGGAAAACATAGAGGTGGGGCGTTTCATGCTACAATCTAGGGGGATAAACCGAGGCAGTATAATTACCGGCACTTCAGTCCACAATCAAAGAATTGAACGTCTTTGGCGTGAAGTGAATGGCATTGTGTCCAGTCGTTTCGTGAATATTTTTGTGTATCTTGAATCTTTTGTTCTTGATACAACAAGTGAACTTCATTTATTTGTTTTACACCTTGTTTATATACCCCTCATTAACCAAGCTCTGCAGGAATTAAGGGAATCATGGAACAATCACTCATTAAGTACAGAACGCAACCTTAGCCCCATGCAGCTTTGGGTTCAAGGTATGATTAGCAGTAGAAACTCTCATTACAGTGCTGTAAGAAGTGTGCAAGATGACCTGCAAGTTAATTGGGATGATTATGGGATTGATGAAGATGGACCTGCAGCAAATGTAGAACCAAACTATAACATCACAGTTCCAGAAACAAGAATAAACTTACAGGATGAACATTTTCAACACGTTCAAGAACTGGTCAGAGTTATAAATGCAGCAGGAGACCAAGATGGTGTTATATGCTTTCTTGTAGTGTTACATACTCTGGAACAATTAGGTTATCAAACTGAAAGTTAAACGTTTTTAACTACTGTATCACAGTGCATCTACAGTAAGTGGGGCCACTTAGAGAACACTAACCAATCGCATTGAAGAACAAAAAGAAAAATCTAATCAAACTAAAGTTCGTCCAATCAAAATAAAGATTCAGGAAGCCATTAACTGCAGCGTTTACTTTTACAAGTCTATTTTTACCGTTTGACATTCGTTTATTTGTTCAAATTGTTTTTGGCCTAATGCTAATTGGCTAATGCGCCATTTGTTAATTTTTTTCAATTTTTGTTCTGCAATGTGATTGGTTAGTGTTCTCTAAGTGGCCCCACTTACTGTAGACACACTGTAAATAATATACACTGGCGAAGCTAGCCACGATATTTGGTCCTAGATATTTGGTTCAGGATATTTGGTTCAGGATATTTGGTCATATTGTATGAATATGCTTATTGAAACACAATAGATTTCTAAAGATGTGGGTTAATTGTGTTAATATGATGGAAATTTCCATGGCAGGGGTAAATATCTTGGCTAGGTTCGCTATATAGTGATAGTATACTGTAGTTATGTATAAAATCTCTGTTGAACGAAATATCAAAGATGTCCATACACTAAGTTAGATGAACGGTTCTTGGTATCTATATTATACCAAAACCTTCCTTTTGGAAATTGATGGCAATGTCCATGTTTCTTTCAAATTTTTCATACGTATCCACTCCACTTGGCAACTCTAGTTCCATGGGACACGTGTTGGCATTTGGGAAAACAGACGAGTTTTGGAGAATGGTAATGAGGGATGGTTTGTAGAAACCCATGGGTGGTATGCAATTTGTTCCAGTAGTAAACATCAATACACCAGGAACTCTGGACTCTATGAATAGGCATAAAAATAATAAAGATGACACTAATAAATAACAAAATAATACGTATAAAAATATAATAAAATAATAGGCTATTTGATACAATTAACTAGCACAGAAAACATTATTAAAAACATTAAGACAAAATAAAGACTAATTTTTGACCTGCATGGTCTTTTTATTCTATTGCATTATTAATCAATACATGACAAATAGTATATTTCATTGACATTGAATTCCAGTTTTAGTTGCTGCGTGAATATTGTTAGGGTGCTGAATACTATATGCTGGTAATAGAGAAAATTTATTGTTATAACTGTCACACACCAACACTACTGAAATAATTTTTAAAATCTAAATTGCACGGGTTACCTGCTTCACGAACATAACGAGTAAAATACTCTTTCATTCTTTCGTCAACATCATCATAGTCCACAATTGAGAAAAGGTCTTCAGATAAAGGTGGTTCACAAGCCCCATCGACAAAAAGTGGTTCAAACTTTTCTGGGTGATTTTTAATTCTCTGCAAAAGCGGACCCAGACCTTCCATAAACTGATCTACTTCAGCTTTTCTGGAAAGAATCACTGCATGAAGAACCAGAGATGTCATGGCTTGAAACCGATTCTCCAAGCTAAGAGAGTGTGGAAAACCAGATTCAACCAATAGAGGTTGAACATCCATGATTACTGCATTCTTGTTGTCTTCAGTCATGCCGTCCAACTACAATGAAGGAGAATATGAGATTCTTAAGCCAAGCATTTTGAATTTTAAACCTAATGTGAAAAATGTTAACACATGGATTTATCGTGCAGTTCGAGAATATGAATCTAATTTGGGACTGCTTGAAAGCAGAAAATTACCTTGCTCAATGCATCTAAGCAATCAACATCAACAACATCTTCTTTACCAATGTAATCAATTAAATCATTAGGTTCCTGCTTCTGGAAGTATTTGTATAATCCAATTGGAAAATTTGGAAATCCCGGTCCACCTTGCATGATTGATGATGCAACCATCCGCCCAGCAACTTTATACAAATTTGAACGAAGGGCGTCTGTGTTATGCATGGGTAAGAATATATTATCTCTTCCTTCGAATAAACGAATGGAAGCGGATGATGACAAAAGCTCCCTTAAGAGAATAGTGAAAAATTCTCTTTTCGGTCCCCCTCCATCAATGGCAGGTTCCCCTTCGAAGGTGATTTTAAGAGGCTTCGTGAAATCAAATTTTTGCTTAAAAATCGAGATGCTGTCTGTAAGAATGGATGATCGGTTCACTGTAAGTCGCGTTGGTGCACCAGGAAGAGGTCTTAATTTTTCCAAGATATCCTTAAGAGTAGATTTTTCCTCATCTTCATTTGAACGTGTTTCGTCTGTAAAAAATGTTTTCACTGTCAGGTTATTACTGGTTTTCATTCAGGGAAATTTTCTTCGGAAAGAAAATCATTCAGGGCCATATAACTCGGGTACGGCTGGGGAGGGTGAGCTTGTTTTTTCCGACAAAAAGGGAGTGGTAGAAATTGTGCCCGACGGACGGAAACTGTGCCCGATGAATATTTATTTTCCCAACATTGTTGGCAAGCTGGGAAAAAAATTTTGGACAAACTATTCTTAACTAACTTACCGAAATTTGTACAATTTTTCAGTATCATTTTAGAAATTTATCAAAATTTTTCCTACAATTATTACTTTTCAAAACATTATGTTACATTTTTTGATGAATTACATTTTCTTGCCCAATGAGCATGTCGTTAAAATTGCTAAAATTACCAGACAAAACTGCAATATTACAACATGGGGAGGTGGGTTGTCACCCCCCCCCACACACACACACTACACACACCCAGGAGTTACCCCCCTGGTTTCATTGTCTTGTGGTCTCTATAATGTGCGACTTCATGGTAAAAAAACCCTTTCTTTCCAAAGGAAAAATTTCCATCAGTGGAAATGGGCTAGCTATTTCAATGGCCATTATAACAAAAAGCAAAACTTTTGAAAAAATATAAATAGTAACATTAAATACAAACCTTCAGAACCACACCAGAAATCCATCACATAATCACATGCTAAATCAATTGTGCTTCTTTTTGATGCTTCATTGAGTATATTTTGTGGGTATGTTGGAAACATTTCCATAAGATGTTGCTTTTCATAGTCACATAGTTGACTGCACATTAATAAGGTTTCTTGGCTTGTGGATAGTATTTCACAAGTACTAGTAGATGGCAACTGACTGGTGGATGGCAGTTGACTGGTGGATGGCAGTGGACTGGTGGATAGCAATTGACTGGTGGATGGCAATTGGCTGGTGGATGGCAACTGGCTGGTGGATGGCAACTGGCTGGTGGATGGCAACTGGCTGGTGGATGGCAACTGGCTGGTGGATGGCAACTGGCTGGATGACCATTTACTTGCAGATGGTGAAACATAAGTTCTTATGTCATTTGTTGATTTACAGGTATCTGACTCAAGATCAATAAAAGCGTCATCCTAAAAAGTAAAAAACAAAAAAAGGAAAAAAACAACTTTAGGATCAAAAGTATGTGCAAATTAGGCAGCTACTAACAAATACGAATTCAACCAAATAAATTATAGCTACACACTGCATACCTCATCAATCTCTAATTTGGAAAGGGAACGAATATATATTGGCCCTGTTCCACTTGTATGTTTTATTACTTTTGCACTTGCTTCCTGACCTTGCGGGAGCTTCAATGGGACAATTCTTCTTCCAATGGATTTGACAAACTCAAAGCTATATATTTTGAAAGATAGAACAGACAAAATAAGGCAAACAAGATAAAATCTAGCTATAAAATATATAAGGCTATGTAATTACAAATTATTTACTGTAAGGCTATGTAATTAAGGCAACTTAGGAACCAGTCATTATTTATGGAAGGGGGGGGGGAAGGATTTTTTCTTTCCTAAATTTTTAAAATTGAAATCCCCCTTAATTAAGGTGCAAGATGATAAAATAAATATGGTTTCTTGAATACAATTGTGTCACAGAATAAGATACACAGAAGGCCGAATTATTTGTTTTTCCTATCTTTTTCCTATGATTTTGGCGTAACCCGTAATTCGTCATCAAATGCTTACATGTATGCCATGGTCGCAGCCAGTGCGCGTTTGAGAGGCATTCACCCCCTGATATTATTCAAAATGGCAGACGTCCAGGGGGGAATGCCTCTCAAACGCGCACTGGCTGCGACCATGGCGTCAGCAATTTGATGATGAATTATGGTGTGGCAGCGGTTACTCGAGTCGACCTTCTGTGTGCCTTATTCTGTGATTGCGTGCTGTATAATCAAAACTGTATGGAGCCACCTTAAAACAGCAGAAATTTAAAAACACTTGACCCCCCTGCATATTAGAATATTGTTCTTTAACCCCCTCCTCATTTTCATTTTTGCTCGTCAAATGGGGATACCAAGGTGTCATAGTGTTAATTATTAAATAAGAATATGGAACTGATAAGATATTAACATCAAACAAAATATATTGAATAACAGAAAATTGTAATTAAAAGGAGTATTTTTATATATAACACTAAAATCAGGTGTCTATTTGGTCTGGGTGATTGTGACCATGTCAATATAGCTGACTGTATTAATACATTCATTTGTCATTTATATCTGAAGTCAGTAAAGAATGATTTGCATACAGTACACATAAATCCAGACTATTTCACATCAGTGACCATGATTTAGTTGCAACATTTACAACCAAATGATACCAGCCACCAGGCTTATTAAGCAAATTCCTTCAAATTTAATTGCAAATTTAATTTTCTTGAAAAAATTTGATAGCCCTTCTAGTCATTTATTTATACATATATATGCCCCCCTTATTTTTGTCTTTCTCTCCTCCCATAAATAATGACCGGTCCCTTAGGGCCACTTTAAATGGAATTGAAGGGTTTTTTTACTGGCTTTACACAAAGAAGCAAAACATCCTTTTCTTCAACACATGCATGAAAAAATGAGAGGAAACTTAAAATTCATTCCATTTAGCCCATTAAATGGCAGCACTCTCTACTTGACGAGTAAAATCGTCTGTAAAATACTAAAAGTAGGGCACATCAGGGTGCATTGCCACAGGGTTATCAAGCATGATTTTCAATGATTTAAGGTGGTCCTAAGTTGAAAACAATGTAGTTGTGAGGTAATAACCGGAAAGGTCTATATTGAAGTTTGGTATGATTTAACACAAAAGTAAATTTTAATTGGGGAGCATTCGACAAAAATATTCAATGAAACAACTACCACACTTACTCAGTAGGGTCAGATATGTACTCCTTGAAAATATTATGTAACTCATTCCTCAGTCTTTCTTCACACCACAATTTATCCAAAGTCCATGCATCAACATATAAATTACGCATTACTAGGTCCTCCTTCATTTGCCTTCTAGGAACTGTACAATATTGTGGGTCCGGTAGCAAACATACATCTTTAATCACCAGTTCGACAGATGATTTGGCCTTTCCCTTCCCTTTCTTATTATTTGTTGAATATGGTACAAAACGTCCACTTCCACTTCTTGGGGTTGGCCGTCGGACACTTACTTCTGACCGTCGAGGAATTTGAAATCTCTGGTTAATCTCTTGTTCCACTGAAATTGAACGCTCTTGATCTCCGGATATTGAATTCACTGAATTGTTGATCACTCTATCATTCGTACTTGTCCCACTAGGTCGAGTTAGATTCGTTTGTGTATCTGGCAGACTTTGCATAGATGAAACAATGCGCCTTACGATATCTGTGATCTGATTCTGATTCTCTTCCATCGATTATTTGCATAAAATTACTATGTATTTTATACAGTATTAAAAAAAAAACGAGAAAAAACAACGTCTTTTATATTTGTTTATAGCTTCTCTCCACGCGGCCACATTTCCCGCTATTTCTGCCATTCTTCAATCTTTTACTTCCGCTTCCGGACATGCTGCTAAAAGTTGCTTACTTCCGTTTCCTTTCGATTTATATTTTTGACTTTTCGACTTGTTTTTATGAGCCGCGGCTTTGACTTATCATTTGGGAGTTTCGTATTATAAATAGAAGTTTGGACTTGCGTTTAATTTTCATATATATCCCTTGAGGTTTGAAATGTATTTTGCAGTTTTGAAGTATATGCTTTAAACTTTCGTTTTATTTTTTTTTTTTGAGTTTGAACTTCATCTTGATATTTTCAACATTATATTGAGAGTTATAACATGTTTATATGATGTTTGACTATTACTTGTTGACTTGAAATAATTTTGACCTGAACGGAACGCCATACAAAAATTTCACCACAGCTTGAAAGAGCATCACAAAATTAGTAATATTCCAAAGTTTCTAATTATAGAATTGAATTCACTTTCAAACAGGATTTTTCAAGAGGTTTACCGAAACGTTGTTAAAAATAAAGTAAACCTCTTGAAAAATCCTGTTTGAAAGTGAATTGAATTCTATAATTAATGATGACCAGAGGTGAAAGTTTTAGAAAAATAATTCCAAAGTTTCGTTGCAAAATGTTGTAAAATGCGGATAATATAGCCTTGCGAAGTTTATAATTTTCAGTCATTTTGTATTACGCACGGAAGTGGTAACCATTCCCGTTTGTAATCTAAAATGACTGAAAATTGCAAATTTCGCAAGGCTAAATTATCCGCATTTTAAAACATTTCGCAACGAAACTTTGGAATATTACTAATTTTGTGATGCTCTTTCAAGCTGTGATGAAATATTTGTCTAGACTTGTTGAGTTCAAAATTTTGGTTAATTGGGGAATGGTCCATTATAAGTTGTCAATTTCCGTCCGATAGTTTGTTGTATTTTATATATTTGTCAGCATTGTTCGCTGAGTGTCCAAACACTAGAATTTTATCTTGATTTTCTTAAACTTCGATACAGCACAAAATTAAACTGAACAGATTATATTTCTAGTTTTTCAAACCTTTGTATGCCCCGAAGGAAATCTTGATTCTTGATCTGGAATTTTAAAATTTTTGTGTTGTTATTTTAGACGCATGCTAATTATAAATTAACCAATGAAATAGCTTCATTTGTCATAAATTATTCAAATTAAGCACTGTCCAATCAGAGGCCGGTCCCCAAATCTGGGAACTATCCACGTGACCTGAACAAGGATTATGCATCCAACTCAGAGACGTTCTCTCGCGCGTTTCGTCGAGAGTAACGGCTGTACACAGGCTAATATATTTTGGCCGAATTTTGTCATTCCCTCAAGGATTTTAGAGCGAATTTAAGCTCTTTGATTAAAGCATTGTTGTTTTGAGAGTTATACGGTATTATTCTTGCAGGGGATATCGATTAATCGTGAAAGATATGCATTAAAGGCGAAAAATCGAGGATAGTTTCGTGTGCATGATATATGCCAAGTCTGGGCTATTTTGATCTCAATCTTTCCTTCCTTCCCTCGTTTTATAAGGAAGGCACAGGCGGGCGCGGGCAAATAGAGCCTGGGCCTACTGTGATAAGGCTGCATTGACAATAAATTATGGTAGTTAATAACAAAAAACTATCGTAACGAGGGACAGATGTGGCATATATAGATTATTACATTGTACAAGATTTCATGATCGTCACATTTTTTCACATATCTTGTCAATCATTAAAATTTTATGGTGCAGCATTGTACCTATAAAGTATGTTTTAATATGGTTTCAATATGCTTTTATAACGCATGTACCCGAGCTTGTCTTAAATTAACGAAGATCTTTTTATTATTATTTACACTGTCTGAGTAAAATCACTACATGTTACACCATATTACACCACATGTTACAGTACATGTTACAGTACATGTTACACTAAAAGTTTTATATTTTATTATATGTCATTACAAGTTACAACATGTTGCACCTACCTTTAAAAAAATCTATAATTCCTTTTAAAAATATAGGTGTAACATGTAGTAACATGTCAAGAACTATAGTAAAATATAGTAATTTTAGCGGTGTAACATGTACAATCTTGGAAAAAATATCGGTTAGATGGAAAACACGGAGTCGGAGTTCCGGAGTCGGAGCCCCGGAGTCGGAGTCCCGGAGTCGGAGTCCCGGAGTCTGACGTCATAAAAATATGGAAAACACGGAGTCATATGGAAAACACGGAGTCTGACGTCATAAAAATATGGAAAACACGGAGTCCACCATAATATATGGAAAACACGGAGTCTGACGTCAGAGAAAAATATGGAAACACGGAGTCTGACGTATTGTCAGCGTGAAATATGGAAAATAGTAATTAAATAATATATAATTTATTAGAAATTTTCTGCACTAATTCTGGTTAATTCTCTAAAATGTCGTGAAAATATGGATTATTTATTTTTAAATACAATCAAGCAAATAATATTGTTTCTCTTATCGTGTGACTTGTTCAGTTGTACAATATTATGAAGTGATTTTAATGCGGATTTTGTTCACCTCCTATGGTATGTTGATAAAAATATAGTTTATATACTTTAATATACTGCTAGAATATTTCATAGTCGATTTACATGTAATATTAACATACAAAATCTTGACACAAAACAGATATGCTGCTTGGAAACAGCGTGCAATATTGTTATTTACTAATAAATAGATGCAGCCAGCCAATACACAAATCCGTGCAGTATATTAATGGCATTAAAAAGGTTTTCAGATGTCCAAAAAAATACCTGCACTATAGTGATAAGTCCATACCAAGTTAATATCTCTAACATATAAGTTTTAGGTTTTTATACTGAATTAAATATCATGCAATATCATAAGTTGCAATTAATCAAGCCATTGATATTTGAGTGATTAAAATAGGTATTTATAACTGACCATTTGTTCCAGGCTTAATTGCATGATACCATTGTAAAATCGTCTGGCGTTAGGCAGAGTAAAATATAAAGTAGGGTACATCTGGGCACATATATTGCCACTTATAATTGAAGGGTTAATATAGAAATTTTGTATTTCATAAAGTATTACAATGCTTTTGAAAGGGATAATTTTAAGTGAAACCCACCTGTTGTGGACTTAAAAGTAAAATTGTGAACTGATGATGCAGAACCACTGGTAGCTAGGGATTGTGGGGCACTAAATTTACTGTTTTCGTAGATTTTTGTCCAAGCAATTAAGTTATAAAGAACAGAATAATAGTGTTGCCACATTCATGTAGTTATAGGCAAATGGTTGATTTGTCAAATATCAATTATGGATTGTTTCATCCCCGAGCCGGCGGCGCGAAGCGCCGTGCGAGGGTACTAATTCCCCCCGGCTATTTACACCCGGAGAAACGAAAGCATTAGCGAAGTCTAAAGTTCATCAATGAGCGCGGGCGTCGGTCACCAACGATGGGTGGTCGTCCTCACTGATCTCAAAAATATGGCGGATTGTCATGAATAACGGACACTGATTGGTCCAATTTAAAGTTTGCATTATAACGGCTGTATGACGACAGCGAAATAGCAAACATTTCTTGATTTGATGAGTTGATGATTGATAAATTTCTTGCAAATATTCTTCATTTTTGCTCGTATTTCTGCAAGATTTTGTAAATTTCAAGAAGAAAGGGCGAAAGAATCAGCTAAAAGAAGGGAGCCGACGTTAACGAAGGTAAGTTTGTTTTAAATATTGATTTTATAATGGCTTTAAAACCCGACGGCCTTTGCGTATATGAAACAACTAAACAAGACAGCATATATAAATTTCAGTGTAACTTTAATATTGATTCCCTTTTTTAGTATATTGAATTTTTTAAATAAAAAATAAAGCAAAGACCAAAGTTATTTGCAAGCGAGAATTTGTAATCATTTTATTGCAAACTCAAAGTTTATCGATAAAGCCATTTAATAGTTAAAGGCAGTTTAATTTTATAAAGAACACTTTAAAACGTTTTGTGAATTGTTTGTGGTTGAATTTTACCTTAAATTGAAGCTTGTATTACGTATAATTATATACCTAACATATATATGTTGGGAAATTGATAATTTTGTAATTAAAAGTGATATTTTTAGGCGATTTTCATTTGTAAGAATATTCTTAAAAAATTATCGTGTTACCATGACAACGACTTTAGATACTTCCTGTTCGGAAAATACAACGGTTTTGTCAGCAAGGCGAGGGTTTCTGCATGCATGTATTTTCTAGTTATAAATACTGGAATGCATGCTCATACTGGATGGTTGTACAATAAGCAAAATTTGTCTTAGGGCCTGTTTATATGGAAGCCGGGCTGGCCCGCTTAGCAAGACAGCCCGGTAAGCGGGATGAATTTCTCTCGTGTTTATATGAGAAAATTTCATCCCGCTTGCCGGGACAATTTTGTTACATTGTATTGTTTTGACAGTTGTTAAAAATAGCTTGCGGCGGTATCTTTGAACTTTCATCCCGGCAACCAGCCTAGCCTGCTTGTGAGTGTTTTAATATATGGAGAAATTTCCATCCCGGTAAGCGAGATCTCGCCTCTTTCAAGTGAGTCCATATAAACGCACAATAATTTTTACTATAAAAATAACTACACAGCGAGATCTCGCTTTTACCGGGCTGTCTCGCTTAGCGGGCCAGCCCGGCTTCCATATAAACAGGCCCTTAGTAAATTTAGTAAGCCAGTATCTAGGCTGGCTTGCATTACATATAAAACATCCCCTATAATCCTACAATAGTTGGAAAAAATTAAGAAGTAAAACAAATCTAGAATGAAATATATTTCCCTTCAATATATGCAATTTGTAGTTAGTTGTATATATAGGCACAAAAATGGCTGAAATAGTTTAAAATTCAATAAAATGTCATTGTGTTGACAT